CTGTAGTCTAGGTGGGGGAGTCCAGTCTGTGATGTCAGTGTAGATAATTGTGGTTATGATATAGGTTGGTATCTGTAGATTAGTGTGATTGTCTGTAGTCTAGGTGGGGGAGTCCAGTCTGTGATGTCACTGTAGATAATTGTGGTTATGATATAGGTTGGTATCTGTAGATTAGTGTGACTGTCTGTAGTCTAGGTGGGGGGAGTCAAGTCTGTGATGTCAGTGTAGATAATTGTGCCATGATATAGGTTGGTATCTGTAGATTAGTGTGACTGTCTGTAGTCTAGGTGGGGGGAGTCCAGTCTGTGATGTCACAGTAGATAATTGTGGTTATGATTTAAGTTGGGATCTGTAGATTAGTGTGACTGTCTGTAGTCTAGGAGGGGGAGTCCAGTCTGTGATGTCAGTGTTTGTGCCTCCAGCTGATTCTGACCACAAGAGTCAAATTCATCAGGATATATGGCCAGTTTTTAACAGGATTTCAGCAGCATCAACAATTTTAATGTAGCAGGATTTTGCAAAGGAACAGAAAGTAAGGTAGTTCAGCTTGAGAGTCAAAGGAGGAGAAGAGAGTTGGGTTGAGAAGTTGAGTTAAGGAGTCTAGAGGAAGGAGGTTGAGTTAGGGAGGCCGAGTTGAGAGGTCTAGAGATATAGAGGAGAGTTATAAAGTTAAGAGTTAAAGTGAGAATTAGTAAGTTATTAATAATAGTAGTTTTAGCTGTAGTTTGTAGATCTGTGTAGTTTTACAGTTTATAGTTGGAGATTATTAAGTTTTAAGTGGAGAGAATGAGTTCACAATAGTGAAGACTTGTTTAGTTTAATATGACAGATTAAAAAACTTGTGTTGTAAACATGGTGTAAATATAAATGTACTTATTCTGTTGTTCAATTAATTTGAACTGGAGGCAGTGGAAATTGAGAACAGAAAGTATCAGTAATACAAAAGAGAACGTAACACTGGTGACCATCAGTGGAGTCTGGATTACTAAACACTAGTGTCCAGCAGTAGGGATAGTTTAGAAATGTAACACTGGTGATCATCAGTGGAGTTTGGATTACTAAACACTAGTGTCCAGCGATAGGGATAGTTTAGAAATGTAACACTGGTGGTAGCACTACTGTAAATTACGGTTATTCCATAAACATTTAGGTGGGTCAAATAATCATTAACTTCAATGTGTTGTTTGGGCCTGCTCAACACAAAAACCGTGAATGTATTTGTGTATTTATTTTACATAGGTAATCAGGAGATTTTCTTCACCAGAAAAAAATTAAATGTTTTCCTACCTTCTTACCATGGTACCCTATTTCTTCTGAAGCCGAAACAGGAAACGCACATATATTAAGCTCACTGGGCCGAAAGACCAAGGTGAGCTTATGCCATACTGTGGCGTCCGTTGTCCGTACATCAACAATTTCCTCAAACTACTTCTCCTTCTTAACTACTGATCGGAATTTAACTTAATTGGACTGAAAGCATCCCTAGGTGGTGGGGATTCAAAATTGTACAAATGGTAGGGCTGACACCCCAGGGAGCTGAGGGGCGGGGCAAAAAGGGTTATTTGGCTATATAGTGCTTTAATTGATTTCTTTAGAACTAAGAGATGGATATCAACCATATTTGACTGAAAGCATCCCTAGGTATTGGGGATTCAAAATTGTACAAATGGTAGGGTTGACACCCCAGGGAGCTTAGGGGCGGGGCCAAAAGGAGGCAATTTGACTATATTGCTTTAAAAAACTTTTTCTGTAGAACGATGCAATGGATATCAATCATATTTGGTCGGAAGCATTCATGGGAGGAGGGAATTTGAAACAGTACAAATGGTGGGGCTGACCCACCAGGGGGCTGAGGGGCGGGGCAAAAAGGGTTATTTGGCTATATAGTGCTTTAATCGACTTCTTTAGAACTAAGAGATGGATATCAACCATATTTGACTGAAAGCATCCCTAGGTATTGGGGATTCAAAATTGTACAAATGGTAGGGTTGACCCCCCAGGGGGCTGAGGGGCGGGACCAAAAGGGGGCAGTTTAGCTATATTGCTATACACGACTTCTCCTGTAGAATTATGCACTGGATATCGATCATATTTGTTCAGTAACATTCATGGGAGGCGAGGATTTAGAATTGAACAAATAGTGGGACTGACCCCCTAGGGGGCTGAGGGGCGGGGCCAAAAGGGGGCAGTTTAGTTATATTGCTATACACGACGTCGACTTTTCCTGTAGAATTATGCACTGGATATCGATCATATTTGTTCAGTAACATTCATGGGAGGCGGGGATTTTGAATTGTACAAATGGTGGGGCTGATCCCCCAGGGGGCTGAGGGGCAGGGCCAAAAGGGGGCAGTTTGGTTATATTGCTATACACGACTTCTCCTGTAGAATTATGCATTGGATATCGATCATATTTGTTCTGTAACATTCATGGGATGCAGGGATTTAGAATTGTACAAATAGTGGGGCTGACCCCCGGGTTAAAGGGTGGGGCCAAAAATACTTAATTTTTAAATGGTTGAGATCCCAACCCTATAACCGTATATACAATTGCTGAGTATAAATAGAAGAATGCACATATGGTTCCTGGATGGCTCTGGGGTTTGACCCCTCCCTTGGAGACATAGTCCCTAGGTCATAACATTTGAGTTGAGATCAGTTGAAATCCCCACTACAAAACTGTATATTCAAATGTAGGGCATAAAGAGATGAATGCAGTCATGATATTATAATAGACCCTGGGGTCTGACCAAACCTCTAGGGACCTAGTTACTGAGTCACAGCTTTGGAAACAGTTGAGATCCCCACCCTATAACAATATATATAATTGCCGAGTATAAAAAACGAATGCACATATGCTTCCAGGATGGCTCTGGGGTCTGCTCCACCCTTGGAGACTTAACCCCTGGGTCATAACTTGGAAACGGTTAGGATCCCCACCCCGAAACTATATAAACACTTGTCGGGCATATAGAGACGAATGCAGTCATGATATTATAATTGATCCTGGGATCTGGCCAAAACGCTAGAGACCTAGTTTCTTAGTCACAACTTAGAAACAGTTGAGATGCCCACCCCATAACCATACATAAAATTGCTGGGCATGAAAAATCTAATACAGATATGCTACAAGGATTGGCCTTGGGGTGTGGCCTTAGATCTTATTTGGGGAATATTTTGCAATAATTGCTTAGATATCCAGATGAGCAATACAGGCCCTCTGGGCCTCTTGTCTTATTTGGCCTTGTCTGTTTGAGTCAGAGGTCTGTGTTACTGTTTGAGTCAGAGGTCTGTGTTACTGTTTGAGTCAAAGGTCTGTGTTACTGTTTGAGGCAGAGGTCTGTGTTACTGTTTTAGTCAAAGGTCTGTGTTACTGTTTGAGTCAGAGGTCTGAGTTACTGTTTGAGTCAAAGGTCTGTGTTACTGTTTGAGGCAGAGGTCTGTGTTACTGTTTCAGTCAAAGGTCTGTGTTACTGTTTGAGTCAGAGGTCTGTGTTACTGTTGAGTCAAAGGTCTGTGTTACTGTTTGAGTCAGAGGTCTGTGTAACTGTTTGAGTCAGAGGTCTGTGTTGGTGTTTGAGTCAGAGGTCTGTGTTACTGTTGGAGTCAGAGGTCTGTGTTACTGTTTGAGTCAAAGGTCTGTGTTACTGTTTGAGGCAGAGGTCTGTGTTACTGTTTCAGTCAGAGGTGTGTGTTACTGTTTGAATCAGAGGTGTGTGTTACTATTTCAATCAGAGGTGTGTGTTACTGTTTGAATCAGTGGTATGTATTACTTTTTCAATCAGAGGTCTGTGTTACTGTTTGAGTCAGAGGTCTGTGTTACTGTTTGAGTCAGAGGTCTGTGTTACTGTTTCAGTCAGAGGTGTGTGTTACTGTTTGAATCAGTGGTATGTATTACTGTTTCAATCAGAGGTCTGTGTTACTGTTTGAGTCAGGGGTTTGTGTTACTGTTTGAGTCAGAGGTGTGTGTTACTATTTCAATCAGAGGTGTGTGTTACTGTTTGAATCAGAGGTATGTGTTACTGTTTGAATCAGAGGTGTGTGTTACTGTTTGAATCAGAGGTGTGTGTTACTGTTTGAATTAGAGATATTTGTTACTGTTTGAATCAGAGGTGTGTGTAACTGTTTGAATCAGAGGTTTGTGTTACTGTTTCAATCAGAGGTCTGTGTTACTGTTTGAGTCAGATGTGTGTGTTACTATTTCAATCAGAGGTCTGTGTTACTGTTTGAATCAGTGGTATGTGTTACTGTTTGAATTAGAGGTCTATGTTACTGTTTGAGTCAGAGGTCTGTGTTACTGTTTGATTCGGAGATCTTTGTTACTGTTTGATTCAGAGATCTTCGTTACTATTTCAATCAGAGGTCTGTGTTACTGTTTGAATCAGTGGTATGTGTTACTGTTTGAATCAGAGGTCTATGTTACTGTTTGAGTCAGAGGTCTGTGTTACTGTTTGATTCGGAGATCTTTGTTACTGTTTGATTCAGAGATCTTCGTTACTGTTCCAGTCAGAGGTCTGTGTTTCTGTTTGATTCAGAGATATTTGTTACTGTTTGATTCAGAGATCTTCATTACTGTTTGAATCAGAGATATTTGTTACTGTTTGATTCAGAGATCTTTGCTACTGTTTCAGTCAGAGGTCTGTGTTACTGTTTGAGTCAGAGGTGTATGTTACTGTTTCAGTCAGCGGTCTATTGTGGTGTCCAGTAAGGGCAACAGTATCCTGAGAGAAAACATCTCTAATGTGTTTGGACCTAAACAGGTGAGTGTATTCTTCTGGACTTTTACAACACCTGGTTACATCAGATACAGAAATCAAGTTGTTAATGGGTAAATCCTGTGGCCTGGTGTGATATATACAACACCTGGTTCCCTCAGATACAGAAATCAAGTTGTTAATAGGTAAATCCCGTGACCTGGTGTGATATATACAACACCTGGTTACATCAGATACAGAAATCAAGTTGTTAATAGGTAAATCCTGTGACCTGGTGTGATATATACAACACCTGGTTTCCTCAGATACAGAAATCAAGTTGTTAATGGGTAAATCCTGTGACCTTGTGTGATATATACAACACCTGGTTACAACAGATACAGAAATCAAGTTGTTATTGGTTAAATCCTGTGACCTGGTGTGATAGTAAACACTGTCAAATTTTTGATTTTCAGCTAAATAATCTACAGGAAATAAAACAAATCAGTCCAAATGAAGAGGTGTCGTGTGAGTACAGCCTGGGGTCCTCCTCCCAAGGAAACGTCCCTTTTAGGTAAGGCAGGCAGTAAATCTCCTCGTTGCCATTTGAAGTTTCTCTCCTTTTAAAATTTTACTTGTTTTTTCACCTACTTCAGAAAACCAGAGATCACAGAGGGATCTGGGTACCAACCATCATAAAAGTTTCATTACTTCTATGTGTTTGAGCTTTCCTCATTTTAGGTCCCCTGAGCTTTGCTCAAGTGACCTATTCTAATTGCGTCTGTCGTGCGTCGTCCGTCATGCATTGTGCGTAAACTTTTTACATTTTCAACTGCTTTTCAAGAACCAGTGGATGGATTTTTAGCTCACCTGCCCGAAGGGCAAGTGAGCTTATGCCTTACCGCGGCGTCCGTCGTCAACTTTTCCCTTGAAAAGCCTTTATCTCCTGTCAACTGATTGGATTTTAACTAAATTTGATATGAAGCATCCTTCGGACCAGGGGCTCAATGGATTTATGAAATAAGGGTGTGGCTCCCTAGGGGGTTTAGTTAGGGGCCAAAAAGGGGTAAATTTAGAAAAAAATAAAAAATCTTTTTCTCCATTTCCAGAAATGCTTAAACCAAATACTAATAATAGTTGTAAAGGCCTTTGGGTGGTTTATAAAAACTGTGATTTTCATGTCTCCTAGCCCACTCCCCCGTTTGTTCCTGGGGAGGAGGTGAAGTTTAGTATAGTTTATATAGGAAATAAACATAATAGGCCATATCTTCCATTGTTTTGAATGGAAGTTGTTCATATTTTACAGAAATACTTATTAGGGGGAGGGGGTCTGCTGGTATGAATTTTTATGAGCCTGAGCCCCTAGGGGGCTGAGGTAGGGGCCGAAAAGGGGGGGGAGTGTTGGGAAAATTACAAAAATCTTCTTCTTTAGTTATAAAGATGCTAGGATCAAATACTACCCATAGCTGTAATGTCATTTGGGTGTAAAGGCCTTTGGGTGGTTTATAAAAACTGTGATTTTCATGTCTCCTAGCCCCCTCCCCCGTTTGTTCCTGGGGAGGAGGTGAAGTTTAGTATAGTTTATATAGGAAATAGACATGACGGTCCATATCTTCCATTGTTTTAAAAATAATTTGTTCATATTTGAGAGAAATATATATTAGGGGAGGAGGGTCTGGTGGTATAAATCGTGTGAGCCTGGCCCCCTAGGGGGCTGAGTTAGTGGCCAAAAAAGGGAGGGGGGGGGAAATTGAGGGAAATTTCAAAAATCTTTTTCTCTAGTTCTAGAAATGCTAGAATCAAATACTACTCATAGCTGTAAAGGCCTTTGGGTGGTTTATATTATTTGTGATTTTCATGTCTCTTAGGGCTCCCGTTTGCCCCTGAGGAGGGGGTGAAATTTAGTATTGTTTATATATGAAATAGACATAATAGGACATATCTTCCAATGTTTTGAACGGAGTTTGCTTATATTGGACAGAAATACTTGTTAGGGGAGGGAGGTCTGCTGGTATAATATTTATGAGTCTGACCCCCTGAGTTAGGGGCCAAAAAGGGGAGAAATTTGGGAAAATTTCAAAAATCTTCTTCTCTAGTTTCAAAAATGCCAGGATCAAATACTACCCATAGCTGTAAAAGCATTTAGGTGGTTTATAAAAATTGTGATTTTCATGTCTACCAGGCTCCCCGTTTGCCCCTGGTGAGGGGGTGAAATTTAGTATAGTTTTATATAGGAAATATACATAATAGGCCATATCTTCCAATTTTTTGAACGGGGTTTGCTTATATTTGACAGAAATACTTGTTAGGGGAGGAAGGTCTGCTGGTATAATTTTTGTGACCCTGACCCCCTAGGGGGCTGGGTTTGGGGTGAAAAAGGAGACGAATTTCAAAACTCTTCTTCTGCAGTTCCAGAAATGCTAGTATCAAATACTACTCATAGTTGTAAAGGCCTTCGAGTGGTTTATATACTTTGTGATTTTCATGGGCCCCAGGTCCCTCGTTTGCCTTTGGGGAGGGGGTAAAATTTGGTGTTGTTTATATAGACAATTCGACAAATGAACAGCCATCACATACTATCCATCTCCAACCCAACTAATGTGCTAGTAGTAGTAACAACCTTAATTCTTTATTACAAATTGGTTTTACAGAGCAAATGTAAATATTGTGCCATGATTGCTTAAATAACCAGGTGAGCAATACAGGCCCCCTGGGCCTCTTGTTAGGTCACCTGAGCTTTGCTCAAGTGACCTATTCTAATCGCTTTCCGTCCGTCGTCGTCCGTCATCCATCGGTCGTCGTGTGTAAACTTTTTACAATTTCAACTTCTTCTCAAGAACCAGTGGGTGGATTTATTTCAAACTTGGTCAGAATCATCCTTGGTAGATGTGGCTACAAAATCGTAAGATTGGGATTCCTACCCCATCCCCTGGGGCCAGGGCGGGGCCCTAAAGGGAAAATTAACCAGTATTTCAAAAATCTTCTTCTCTAGACTCAGAGGTACTACATTCAATTTCAGTGCATAAAAAGAAAGATCATCAGGGGCTTTATTTAAATTGTAAATTTCAGGTCCCACGAGCTATCCGTTCTCCCTTGGGGAGGAGGTAAAGTTTACTATAGTTTATATAGAGAAACAACACTTTTGGGTATTTTTTGACAACTTTCTGTAGGAAATTATCTTTACTTGATGAGAATTATCCTTGGAGGAAGATGGTTTCAAATTGTAAAATTGAGATTCCTACCCCAACCCCTGGGGCCAGGGCGGGGCCCCAAAGGGAAAATTAACCAATATTTCAAAAATCTTCTCCAGACTCAGAGCTCCCTTGGGGAGGGGGTAAAGTTTACTAAAGTTTATACATGTATAGGGAAATAACACTTTTGGGTATATTTTGACAACTTTCGTAGGAAATAATTTTTACCTGATGAGAATTATCCTTGGAGGAAGATGGTTTCAAATTGTAAAATTGAAATTTCTACCCCAACCCCAGTTGATAGACCACAGACGAGGGGGCTATAGGATAGAGGACGGACAGTTGATAGACCACAGACAAGGGGGCTATAGGATAGATGACGGACGGTTGATAAACCACAGACGAGGGGGCTATAGGACAGACGACAGACGGTTTATGGACCACAGAAGAGGGGGCTATAGGATAGACGACGGGCGGTTGATAGACCACAGACGAGGGGGCTATAGGATAGAGGACGGACAGTTGATAGACCACAGACGAGGGGGCTATAGGACAGACGACAGACGGTTTATGGACCACAGAAGAGGGGGCTATAGGATAGACGACGGACGGTTGATAGACCACAGACGCGGGGGCTATAGGATAGACGATGGACAGTTGATAGACCACAGAAGAGGGGGCTATAGGATACTATAGGATAGACGACGGACGGTTCATAGACCACAGATGAGGGGGCTATAGGATAGAAAACGGACAGTTGATAGACCACGGACGAGGGGGCTATAGGATCGATGACGGACGGTTGATAAACCACAGACGAGGGGGCTATAGGATAGCCGACGGGCGGTTGATAGACCACAGACGAGGGGGCTATAGGATAGACGACGGACGGTTAAAGAGCACAGACGAGGGGGCTATAGGATAGACAACGGACAGTTGATAGACCACAGACGAGGGGGCTATAGGATAGACGACGGACGGTTGATAGACCACAGACGAGGGGGCTATAGGATAGACGACGGACGGTTGATAGACCACAGACGAGGGGGCTATAGGATAGACGACGGACGGTTGATAGACCACAGACGAGGGGGCTATAGGATAGACGACGGACGGTTGATAGACCACAGACGAGGGGGCTATAGGATAGACGACGGACGGTTGATAGACCACAGACGAGGGGGCTATAGGATAGACGACGGACGGTTGATAGACCACAGACGAGGGGGCTATAGGATAGACGACGGACGGTTGATAGACCACAGACGAGGGGGCTATAGGATAGACGACGGACGGTTGATAGACCACAGACGAGGGGGCTATAGGATAGACGACGGACGGTTGATAGACCACAGACGAGGGGGCTATAGGATAGACGACGGACGGTTGATAGACCACAGACGAGGGGGCTATAGGATAGACGACGGACGGTTGATAGACCACAGACGAGGGGGCTATAGGATAGACGACGGACGGTTGATAGACCACAGACGAGGGGGCTATAGGATAGACGACGGACGGTTGATAGACCACAGACGAGGGGGCTATAGGATAGACGACGGACGGTTGATAGACCACAGACGAGGGGGCTATAGGATAGACGACGGACGGTTGATAGACCACAGACGAGGGGGCTATAGGATAGACGACGGACGGTTGATAGACCACAGACGAGGGGGCTATAGGATAGACGACGGGCAGTTGATAGACCACAGACGAGGGGGCTATAGAACAGACAACGGACGGTTCATAGACCACAGACAAGGGGGCTATAGGATAGACGACGGACAGTTGATAGACCACAGAAGAGGGGGCTATAGGATAGATGGCGGAGGGTTGATAGACCACAGACGAGGGGGCTATAGGATAGAGGACGGACAGTTGATAGACCACAGACAAGGGGGGCTATAGGACAGACGACAGACGGTTTATGGACCACAGAAGAGGGGGCTATAGGATAGACGAGGGACGGTTGATAGACCACAGACGAGGGGGTGATTTGAACAGCCTACCATCTGATGATGGTAAAGGACGGACAGTTGATAGACCACAGACGAGGGGCCTATAGGATAGACGAGGGACGGTTGATAGACCACAGACGAGGGGGCTATAGAACAGACAACGGACGGATCATAGACCACAGACAAGGGGGCTATAGGATAGACGACGGACGGTTCATAGACCACAGACGAGGGGGCTATAGGATAGACGACGGGCGGTTGATAGATCACAGACGAGGGGGCTATAGGATAGACGACGGACGGTTCATAGACCACAGATGAGGGGGCTATAGGATAGATGACGGACGGTTGATAGACCACAGACGAGGGGGTGATTTGAACAGCCTACCATCTGATGATGGTAAAATAAAAATCAAAGCTAAATTAAAAAAAGACAATTTGAAAACTTTTTAAACAAGTTTATTATATTATTGATTTAAAGTAAAATAACATTTACAAATAATATACTTAAATCTCTGTTAGTGAGAAAGAACTTATGAACCACAGCTGTTGAAAAACCTTAGATTCAATTATGTATCAAACTAAAAGATTTTCGATTGTCCACTTGATTATAACATCACAATCATATTTCATTTTGTTATTTTTTCATTAAATGCTGCTCTCTGATTGGTCAGTTCAACTTCACTGTGAAAAAATGTCTACTAATAACAATTCACTGGTAAACATGTAATAAAATACAAAATCAATAAACATAAAAAATATATCAGTACTAAGATAAGAAAGGTAGCTATGAATTCCATTGTTCTAAAAGAAAAGTTGAAAAAATGTAATAGCGTATATTTAATGATTTAGTTGCTTGAGTCCTTTAAGTGTGATGAACATACTATTTACAAGTACTATACTTGTACTTATGATTGCCTCCCCTTACCAATTAATGTGAAAATATGGATCACAGGAAATATCAGTGGATTACAGAAACATTGATGTAAAATAGAACAAAGGATTTACAATGGTAACAATAAAAACAACATCAAACATCTTTGTTGTCACTCACTGTCACACCACTTACATGGCATACATAATAATTTCTTTACTGATATTTGTGAGGCATCTTCTTAACTTTCAGACCAAAATATATCTAAGTGCTTAGGTGACCCTATTCAACAACACGTTCAGAGATTCTGACTCATACACACACTCACAGCAAACATTTCATTGATCTGTCCAATAAAAATCTATATCTCTTCATGTAACAACAAAATTAAAACCTCAATCATAGGTCACTTTAGGTGTGGTATAAGGGAAGTTATACACCTAGAGAACAGGTCCATTTAAGTCAGAGACCTTGATTTCAGATTTCATTGCAGGTTTTTGAAATCAATGACCGTGTTCTTGAATATTGAAAAGAACATATAATAGACATAAATAAATGGACCTGATATTTGGGAAATAGCTGATATATAACAATGAATGATGACAATACTTGTATATTGGAACTGTGTTAGTGACACAATCAGTGATTTTTCTGTTCGCTTGAGTGGTTTACCCCACTTCACTACTGGGTAGTTCAGCATAGCAGATTTACTGTTTTTGATGTCCTTCGATATGTACACAAGGTCCATGCCCAATATTTATGAGTAGATCAGGTTTTTCGAAGTCTACTTGAGGATATAAGGGAAGTCAGGTTATACACCTAGAAAACAAGTCATTAGTACAGAGACGCTGATTTCAGATTTCATTGCAGGTTTTTGAAATCAATGACATTTTCCCTGAAGATTGAAAAGAACATATTTCACACTAGAATAAATGGACCTGTCAGATGATCCGGCATGACTGATTTGTAAAAATTAATGATGACAATATTTTGAAATGACACTTCTAAACTGGAGTTGTAACAGAAACTATTTACAAAACCTGTAAACAATAAACCTGTGACATGTTTACATTAATTCCTCAAACATGATATTGTTAGTCTGTATAAGTGTTGATCAAGTGTATAAGATCATAATAACAACGGTCAAAGTTTAATGTTAGAATTAACGTCTTTTTGTATTTATTTGGTATAATTTGTCTGGATCATCACTCCAGGTTTAGTCACTCCTCAGTCACTGTAATACTTTAGAAGTTTGAGTCCCCTCTCTCCTGTATCTAACACTAAGCGTGACCACAACACATCATCCTTCTGTATACCAATTTTACCCTGTCCTTTGTTTGTGTGAAGTGTTTTTATGTACTTCCCTGCTCCACTTATCAGTTCTATTGTGCCCCTTGTCCAGTCAGCAATAACAATATTACCCTTACTGTCATATACAACTGTTAATGGATCAAACTTGTCTGGTGTGACCGCCTCCCGTGCCGGTATCCCCTCTCCCCCGTAGTGGACCAGGGGCTGGAGTGTTGGGTTGTACACAATGATGTGACGCCTGTAGTTGTCTCGTTCACTACCGTCTCTACTGATTAGTTTACTACTTACTATAGCTATGTTACCTGTAACACCACACTGTGTGATGGACTGTACTGCCCCTTCCCCTGACCCCTCCACAGTGGCTGTGTGTAACACCTGGCCGTCTGCTGTGTGCATCACCACTTTGTACCCCTGTCTACCCCATGTACCCACCAATACCCGACCCTCCCTAGTCACACACAGACTAACTGGGTATCCCTCTGTAGTAAACCTTGTGACTGGTGTTGATGATGTAGATACCTCGTAAATAGTCCTCTCATCCAAACAACAGAACCACAGACGACCTGTGGTGGGGTCCAGACTGATGTCTGTGATGTTACTGTTGTGCTGTATATTCTGTATGACTTTAGGTTTGTTGGAGAAAAAGTTACCTTTGTGGTTGATGAGTTTTACTGTGTTGGTTTTAAAACAACACAGCCATGCACGTCCATCAGATGTAGGACAGATTGAGTTGATATCATTTTGGTATAAGAACTGAGATATGACAGTTGGACTGTCACAAAGTTTGTACAGGACTGCTCCAGTGGAGGCTTGACCCGTCTCTGTAGATTTGGACTGTTTAGGTCTCACAACTGGACCTTGTTTGGAGTGACCACTAGGTGTTGATCCTACCTGGAAATGGTCAGTAGGAGTTTTCATTTTCCCCATGGCCAGCTCCAGGTGACTTTGTCTGTCTTTACCTGGAGTAAACTCTGTCATGTCTATGTTAGGTGTCTGTGGGATATCTAAGTCCATGTCCACGATTTCTGATACCGAGTCATACACAAGTACAGCAGTGCCTGTCTGGAGGGTCTGTTTACACTCTGATGAGAGTTTCACTAAAGTGTCTAACCTGTCCTCCAGGTTTGTGATGTGAGTCTGAAGGTGGTCTGTGGTCTCCTTGTCCAACTTGTCACATGTTTCTAAGTAATTCTTAGCTATTGTCTCTAATTCCAGTTTACTGCTATCCCTCTGGTTTTTAATGTCTGCAGAAATTTGTCTGTATTTTTGGTGATATTGTGAAATATTTGTTCTTGCAGAAGTTATTTCTCCTTTAAGTTTCGGAATCTTAACATCCGTGTCAGTAATAAATTCTTGTAGTACGTGTTTCTGATTTTCAGCAACTTTCTTAATTTCAACAAAACTGTTTATATGTTCTTTGTGTTCAGTGATGCTACAAGTAGTGCATATTAAAGTTTTACAATTCCCACACAAAAATACCAGAGAGTTCTCTCTATGGCTGGGGCACTTTTCTATGCCTTTTTGTCGGATGGGATATTGTCCCAGCATCAAAGACTGGCCAGAATTTGTCGCCATGATGAGTAGTATGAAGTAGGCTGTAATGAGGTGTATTGGGAGTCTGTTGGGGGTCTGCTGGGGGACTTCTGGGGGACTTCTGGGGGATTTTCAGGTCTTCTATCTGTAACAACAAAATTGATTAATAGAAGGATTAATTCCAAACATCTTCCTGTTTACTCACAAATTTTGAGATTTAACAAATGAAGTGTATTGTATAGCATGAATCATTTTCCAGTATTTCACCGGTAGTTACATGTTTATATACTTTGTAACTATGAATGCTGAGTAAGTACATTTTTAGGTCACCTGAGCTTTGCTCAAGTGACCTATTCCTATCACTTTCCGTCCGTTGTCGTCCGTCGTGCATAAATTTTTACATAATCAACTTCTTCTCAAGAACCAGTGGATGGAATTTTTTCAAACTTGGTCAGAATCATCCTTGGTAGATGAGGATACCAAATTGTAAAATTGGTATTCCTACCCCAACCCTAGGGGCCAGGGCGGGGCCCAAAAGGGAAAATTAACCAATATTTCAAAAATCTTCTTCTCCAGACTCAGAGGTATTACAGTCATTTTCTCTGCATGGATGGAAAGATCATCAGGGGCTTTATTTAAATTGTAAATTTCAGGACCCCCGAGCTATCCGTTCTCCCTTGGGGAGGGGGTAAAGTTTACTATAGTTTATATAGGGAAATAACACTTTTGGGTATATTTTGACAACTTTCTGTAGGAAATTATTTTTACTTGGTGAGAATTATCCTTGGAGGTAGATGGTTTCAAATTGTAAAATTGAGATTCCTACCCCGACCCCTGGGGCCAGGGCGGGGCCCCAAAGGGAAAATTAATCAATATTTCAAAAATCTTCTTCTCCAGACTCAGAGGTACTACAGTGATTTTCTCTACGTGGAAAGAAAGATCATCAGGGGCTTTATTTAAATTGTAAATTTCAGGACCCCCGAGCTATCCGTTCTCCCTTGGGGAGGGGGTAAAGTTTACTATAGTTTATATAGGGAAATAACACTTTTGGGTATATATTTTATCCATTTTCAGCAGAAAATTACTCAAACTTAGTCAGAATCATCTTTGGTGAATGAGAGTATTACTTTGGAAAATTGGGATTCCTGCCCCATCCCCAGGGGCTAGGGCGGGGCCCCAAAGGGAACATTTACCAATATTTTCAAATTCTTATCCTTTGATGACATGACAAGTATTGTATTTCACTTAGTTTACATGCTGATTTCCACATCACATCTAAACAATAAAATAAAGCTACCAGTACCTATGATATAACTCAGGTGACCGCGAAGGCCCTTGGGCCTCTTGTTCCCTAATGAAATACATGTATATTGATATCTAATAGCTAAATGACATAAAACATATATTGACATTCCAATACTGGTGTGATTGCCATATTTACGGTCTAACGTACAAAGATGAGCTTAAATACTGTGCTGTGGGCCCCTCGTCCATTAAGCCATATATAGGTGAGGATGTTACTTTCTGATACTATTTGATTTCAATTTCATTATAACTATTCCAACCAAGTTTGAATTACTTCTTGCTGAAAATGGACAAGATATAGTCAGAAGTGTTATTTCCCTATATAAACAAGGAGAACAGATGACCAAATTAGGGTAATAAAACTAATAGTTTATATAATGCACTTAAGGGCATTTCCATCATAAAAGAAATTTGAATCATGTACATGTAAGTGCAGAGAATATTAGCCATTTCCCCCATTTTGGACCCACCCCTCAAGCCCCTGGTGCAAGGACGAATCTTATTTTCTCATACCATCTAATTGCCATCTGGCATCATAATCATTCCAAACAAGTTTGAATAATTTCCTGCTGAAAACAGACAAAATATTCCCAAAATTGTGATTTCCCTATATAAACTATTGTCAACTTTACCCCCTCTCCAAGGGGGAATGGATGGCCCAGAGTAATGAAATTAAAAATAGAAAAAGCCCCTGACAGAATTTTCATTCAGGCACATAATTTTATTGTACTTCATCTGAGTTGAAAGATTTAAAAAAATAAATATATATAGGTAATTTTCCCTTTGGGGCCCCGCCCTGGCTCCTGGGGGTCGGGCAGGAATTCCAATTTTAGAATTTGATACCATCTTCCTTCAAGGATAATTCTCACCAAAAAAGAATAATTTCCTACAAAAATTGACAAAATATACCAAAAAGTGTTATTTCCAAATATAAATTATAGTAAATTTTACCCCCTCCCCAAAGGAGAACAGATGACCTGGGGGTACTGAAATTTACAATTTCAATAAAGCCCCTGATTATCTTTTCATACATGCAGAGAAATTTACTGTAGTACCTCTGGGTCTAGAGAAGATTTTTGAATTATTGGATAATTTTCCCTTGTGGGCCCCGCCCTGGCCCCTGGGTTGGTAGTTATCCAAATTTTACAATTTTGTAGCTTTTTCTACCAAGTTTGATTCTGACAAAGTTTGAAAAATATCCACCCACTGGTTCTTGAGAAGAAGTCGAAAAATGTAAAAAGTTAACGCATGATGCGCGACAGATGGAAAGCGATCGGAATAGGTCACTTGAGCAAAGCTCAGGTGACCTAAAAAGGGATTTTTGAAAAGCAATTCTGTATCAATTCAAAAATTGTTGTCTGGGTTTCCACCTTTTCCTTCCAATCAGTCTCAAACTGAAATGTAAATCTGATGGTAAAGAAGAAGACCATGAGCAACAGGTGAGTTGAACAGCTCATTAAACTGTTCATGGAAAGCTAAAAAGTGTCATATATTATTTATCTTACATTTTGGGAATTTTTGTATGGTTGAGATTTTTTTTCAAAGGGATCAGGCTTTTATCAGGTTTAATATGTTAAAAATGACAGAAAATAAAGCAAGTATGCTCTAGTACCTGACCAATAAAGTGTCCTGGCTCGAATCGTCCTGTAACTCACCAATATAGCAAGTACAGTTAAACTGACCAATATAAGATTGCTATTATTTTGTCCAGAATGCCCCAATGACACCGACCAATGTTGTCAGTTCAATATAAGGAGTTAAATTGTGTCCAGAATGGTCTTGTTACTGACCAAAAGATATTCAGTGATATGTCCATACACAATAACAATATATACTCACAGACTCGTCGAAATTCAGCTGCGTCTTCACGAAATTGACTTCTTAAGTTTTCACAGTTATTGTTTATCAAGGTGTGTCCTCACTGGTGACAGGAATAATGTCTTGTAAGGAAATTAGAACCCTGTGGTGTAGAAAATTTATCATTCTAAATGTCTGGTACAATAAGCATACAACAGAAATATTTCAATTTAATGCTCCCTTACATCCCGTACACACACTCCCTTACACTCGTACACACACTCCCTTACACCAGTACACACACTCCCTTACACTTGTACACACACTCCCTTACACTTGTACACACACACTCCCTTACACTCGTACACACACTCCCTTACACCAGTACACACACTCCCTTACACTCGTACACACACTCCCTTACACCAGTACACACATTCCCCTACACCTGTACACACACTCCCTTACACCAGTACACACACTCCCTTACATCCCGTACACACACTCCCTTACACCAGTACCCACATTCCCCTACACCTGTACACACCCTCCCTTACCCCTGTACACACTCCCTTACACCTGTACCCACCCTCCCTTACATCCCGTACACACCCTCCCTTACCCCTGTACACACTCCCTTACACCTGTGCACCCACTTTCTTACACCGGTACACCCTCCCTTACACCTGTACACACCCTCCCTTACATCCTGTACACATACTCCCTTACACCAGTACACACACTCCCCTACATCCCGTACACACACTCCCTTACACCTGTACACACACTCCCTTACACCTGTACACACACTCCCTTACATCCTGTACACACACTCCCTTACACCAGTACACACACTCCCTTACATCCCGTACACACACTCCCTTACACCTGTACACACACTCCCTTACATCCCGTACACACACTCCCTTACACCTGTACACCCACTTTCTTACACCGGTACACACTCCCTTACACCTGTACACACACTCCCTTACACCTGTACACACTCCCTTACACCTGTGCACATGGCCCCACCACCATCATCATCATTAGCAAAATCATCAACCTTTATTCACATTTGAGATTTAATTTGCCAAAGCATAATAAATTATCTCTCTCACACCTTCCATACTTTCTCTCAGCCTAGTTTTCCTTCTGATATATATTCTTAATAATTTAAATATGTCTTCTGATGTACAGATGTATAGAAAGAAGGAGGGAAAAAAGGAAAAGAAAGGATAATTGGTTAGATAAGCCACATACAATTGAAGAAATATCCTCAGCCATTTTTCATTTCAGATCTTATTAAATGTATTCAATTATGTGCAGGAATAGGAGGAAAATGAGAAAAAGTTGGCGGGGACAGTAAAGTATAACAGGTTCTTAGGTTAGATAGACAGAAGGAGAAAGGGAGAAATGGGATGAAGGCGAGAGGATGGAGGTTCAGGTTACAGAGAACAATTTATCATGTTAACATGTCAATAGCACGAAAACGGTTTTAATAATTATATTATGTCAGCTCATTATACTAAGTATATTCCTTTCTATTACTGTTACCCCTTAATTAGTTATCTATGTATAACTTTCCTATCTAATACTGTTACCCCTTAATTAGTTATCTATGTATAACTTTCCTATCTAATACTGTTACCCCTTAATTAGTTATCTATGTATAACTTTCCTATCTATTACTGTTACCCCTTAATTAGTTATCTATGTATAACTTTCCTATCTAATACTGTTACCCCTTAATTAGTTATCTATGTATAACTTTCCTATCTATTACTGTTACCCCTTAATTAGTTATCTATGTATAACTTTCCTATCTATTACTGTTACCCCTTAATTAGTTATCTATGTATAACTTTCCTATCTATTACTGTTACCCCTTAATTAGTTATCTATGTATAACTTTCCTATCTATTACTGTTACCCCTTAATTAGTTATCTATGTATAACTTTCCTATCTATTACTGTTACCCCTTAATTAGTTATCTATGTATAACTTTCCTATCTATTACTGTTACCCCTTAATTAGTTATCTATGTATAACTTTCCTATCTATTACTGTTACCCCTTAATTAGTTATCTATGTATAACTTTCCTATCTATTACTGTTACCCCTTAATTAGTTATCTATGTATAACTTTCCTATCTATTACTGTTACCCCTTAATTAGTTATCTATGTATAACTTTCCTATCTATTACTGTTACCCCTTAATTAGTTATCTATATATAACTTTCCTATCAATTACTGTTACCCTTTAATTAGTTATCTATATATAACTTTCCTATCTATTACTGTTACCCCTTACTTAGTTAACTATGTATAACTTTCCTATCTATTACTGTTACACCTTAATTAGTTATCTATGTATGACTTTCCTATCTATAACTGTTACCCCTTAATTAGTTATCTATGTATGACTTTCCTATCTATTTCTGTTACCCCTTAATTAGTTATCTATGTATAAATTTCCTATCTATTACTGTTACCCCTTAATTAGTAATCTATATATAACTTTCCTATCTATTACTGTTACCTCTTACTTAGTTAACTATGTATAACTTTCCTATCTATTACTGTTACCCCTTAATTAGTTATCTATATATAACTTTCCTATCTAATTCTGTTACCCCTTAATTAGTTATCTATGTATAACTTTCCTATCTATTACTGTTACCCCTTAATTAGTTATCTACATGTAACTCATAAAGTTGAGGGTTGTAGGAGATACTAAGGTTTTTACACTTTTCCCAGTCTTTTTGGAAGGTATAATGCATGTTTTTCATCTTTCCCAATCTCAATATATTACTGTTCCTCATCAGTCTGTTTTATACAGATTTTAAAGCCATTTATTGATAGAGGTTTTCCTAGGCATCTTGCAATGGCCAGAATGGTCCTCTAACTGACCAATAGAGAGAATAATATGATCAGAATGGTCCTTTAACTGACCAATAGAAAGTGTTTTGGTCAGAATAGACTTATAATAGGCCTGTACAGTGTTATGGAGAGAATGGTTTTGTAACTGACCAGTAGAATGTCATGGCTAAAACAACCTTGTAACAATTGCTAATAAATTGTAATAATAATTTGAGGTTCTTATATACCGCTTTATCACAACCTAGTTCGTAGGTCGTCTTCAAAGCGGTCCACAAATTAAGCCAATGGTCTTTAGATAGGCTACATAAAGAGAGTGAATTAAAACAAAAGTTGATCCTAAACTCATTTTATCCCATTATGTACTTACAGACTGTCCAAGTTCAGTGACGTCCAAAACAAAATGGTGGGATAAGATTTTCTTCAGCACCTTCAGCTTCAGTTTTTTTTTTCTCAGTTTCACAGCTCCGGGTTGTCAAATGGCGTCCTTACTCACTGGTGACAGCTAGAGGAATAAAATCTGGTCACTTTGTTGTGTATAATGTAGGGAGTATGTATTTCCTGAAATGACCCACAGCTACAAGTGCGCCTGGCCTTCTGAATTCATAGGGAAGTAAAACTTGGTTGTGCATAATATAGACCATGTGTTTTCCCCGAAACGTCACTCACAGATTCGATCACGCCTGCCCTTCTATATACCTAGCTGATAGTTAAGTTTGTCGGATATAATTGGATATTAAGTTGAAGTTTGATAATAATTCCATAAAATATATAGGATATTCAGGGAGGGCAAACCAAACTTTGTAGTAGAGGTGGGCTATTGATCTCTCAGTAGAAGATGATTTTAAAGAATTATCAAATTTTGCCTTCCAGTGGAAGGCTCACTTAATATCCAATTCTATAAAACCTACCTACTTAGAGAGATCCCTTTAGAATTTAGAGTTGAACAATTTTTGATACAAATATATCACATATAGTCTGTCCTGTATGCAGCAAAATTGTTTACAAATGTATGTATATTTGACTGAAGTAAACCTATATCTGGTGTTGTGAGAATCAACAAAATGTCTCCGAATCTCTCTGTGTCTAATGAATCCAAATCTAAAGTTCCCTGTTGGGGTAGGTAACTACGTATATTGCGATTGTAAAAACCTTTTAAAAGTGCATTTACTGGACCATCCGGCCGACCTCAGGATTTAAGAAATTGGAACATTTGCTGCCTTAGCTGCTGACATTGAAGCACTCTGACTTTAAACACTAAAACATGAACTCCAAGCCTTGTTAACACCAGTCATAGCACTGAAACATCGACTCCAGACCTTGTTAACCCCAGTCTTAGCACTGAAACATCGACTCCAGACCTCGTTAACACCAGTCGTAGCACTGAAACATCGACTCCAGACCTCGTTGACCCCAGTCTTAAGCACTGAAACATCGACTCCAGACCTCGTTAACCCCCAGTCATAGCACTGAAACATAAACTCCAGGCCTTGTTAACCCCAGTCTTAGCACTGAAACATCGACTCCAGTCCGCGTTGACCCCAGTCTTAAGCACTGAAACATCGACTCCAGACCTTGTTAACACCAGTCGTAACACTGAAACATCGACTCCAGACCTCGTTAACCCCAGTCATAGCACTGAAACATAAACTCCAGACCTTGTTAACCCCAGTCTTAGCACTGAAACATCGACTCCAGACCTCATTAACCCCAGTCTTAAGCACTGAAACATCGACTCCAGACCTCGTTAACCCCAGTCACAGCACTGAAACATAAACTCTAGACCTTGTTAACACCAGTCGTAACACTGAACCATCAACTCCAGACCTTGTTAACCCCAGTCGCAGCACTGAAACATAAACTCCAGACCTTGTTAACCCCAGTCTTAGCACTGAAACATCGACTCCAGACCTTGTTAACACCAGTCGTAACACTGAACCATCAACTCCAGACCTTGTTAACCCCAGTCGTAGCACTGAAACATAAACTCCAGACCTTGTTAACACCAGTCCTAACACTGAAACATCGACTCCAGACCTTGTTAACACCAGTCGTAACACTAAAACATCGACCCCAGACCTTGTTAACACCATTCCTAACACTGAAACATCGACCCTAAACGTTGTTAACATCAGTTGTAACACTAAAACATCGACCCCAGACCTTGTTAACACCAGTCGTAACACTAAAACATCAACCCCAGACCTTGTTAACACCAGTCATAGCACTGAAACATAAACTCCAGACCTTGTTAACACCATTCGTAACACTGAAACATCGACTCCAGACCTTGTTAACCCCAGTCGTAGCGCTGAAACATAAACTCCAGACCTGGTTAACACCAGTCCTAACACTGAAACATCAACTCCAGACCTCGTTAACCCCAGTCGTAGCACTGAAACATAAACTCCAGCCCTTGTTAACACCATTCGTAACACTGAAACATAGACTCCAGACCTTGTTAACCCCAGTCGAAGCGCTGAAACATAAACTCCAGACCTTGTTACCACCAGTTGTAACACTGAAACATCGACTCCAGACCTCGTTAACCCAAGTCGTAGCACTGAAACATAAACTCCAGACCTTGTTAACCCCAGTCGTAGCACTGAAACATAAACTCCAGACCTTGTAAACACCAGTCCTAACACTGAAACATCGACTCCAGACCTCGTTAACCCAAGTCGTAGCACTGAAACATAAACTCCAGATCTTGTTACCACCAGTTGTAACACAGAAACATTGATTCCAGACCTTGTTAACCCCAGTCGTAACACAGAAACATCGACTCTAGACCTTGTTAACACCAGTCTTAGCACTGAAACATCGAATTCAGACCTTGTTACCACCAGTTGTAACACTGAAACATCGACTCCAGACCTTGTTAACCCCCAGTCGTAACACAGAAACATCGACTCTAGACCTTGTTAACACCAGTCGAAACACTGAAACATCGACTCCAGACCTTGTTAACCGCAGTCGTAGTACTGAACCATCAACTCCAGACCATGTTAACCCCAGTCGTAACACTGAAACATCGACTCCAGACCTTGTTAACCCCAGTCGTAGCACTGAAACATCAACTCCAGACCTTGTCAACCCCAGTCGTAACACAGAAACATCGACTCCAGACCTTGATAACCCCAGTCATAACACAGAAACATCGACTTTAGACCTTGATAACCCCAGTCTTAGCACAGAAACATCGACTCCAGACCTTGTAAACCTCAGTCGTAACACTGAAACATCGACTCCAGACCTTGTTAACACCAGTCGTAGCACTGAAACATGGAATCCAGACCTTGTTAACACCAGTTGTAACACTGAAACATCGAGTACAGACCTTGTTAACCCCAATATACACTGAAACATCAACTCCAGACCTTGTTAACCCCAGTCGTAACACTGAAACATCGACTCCAGACCTTGTTAACCCCAGTTGTAATGCTGAAACATCGAGTACAGACCTTGTTAACCCCAATATACACTGAAACATCAACTCCAGACCTTGTTTACCCCAGTCGTAACACTGAAACATCGACTTCAGACCTTGTTGACCCCAGTCGTAACACTGAAACATCGACTCCAGACCTTGTTAACCCCAGTCGTAGCACTGAAACATCAACTCCAGACCTTGATAACCCCAATTGTAACACTAAAACATCG